GTGTGTGTGTGTGTGTGTGTGTGTGTGTGTGTGTGTGTGTGTGTGTGGCTGCTGTGATGTGATAGTTTGTAGGGGAGGACAGGCTTTCCCTTACTCTCCTTCCATAGGACAGCGCTTTCTTCATATAGGTCATTCTGGCAGAGCAGTGTTAGGGGGCCACACCAGGGGCTATGGCTCGGCTGTGGGGGCGCTCTTTGCAGTACCACGGAGCCCAGCATCAGCCAGAGCGTCAGTGCCTTTCTGTGCGTGTCAGAGGACCCTCGTCCGTGGCGAGCCAGTGTGTTTATTCTGCGCATTCGCATCGGAGGAAGTGTTTACAGAAATGGCTGTGATGCACTGAAGTGCGTCGTGTTTACCATTTACTTTTAAGTGGCCTTTTTGGGCTGTTGGGTTTCTAGCTTAGGATTTGCAGTCCCTGATTTTACCTGTTATCAATTTGCTGAGTAATAGTAGAGGTGAGAAACGGCCTGGGTTTACCAGTCCCAGAGCCAAGCCGGCTATGACAAGCACACAGCCTTTGCTTTTCCTTCCTTTCTGCAGTGCTAACTTGTCTACTGTTAAACAAATTATTGTTCTCCCTACCTTTCTTTCCTAAATAAAAGTACTTTCTACTTGAGTGTGTCCTGACGCTTTAGGCATTTCCTTCATAGGAAGAACCCTGTTTTATGCCTTCCTTCCCTCCCTGGCTGGCCCATCCAGGTGGGAGCAGGCTCCCACATCCTGCTGTCTCTGGCTCCGGGAGCTTGCTGAAGGGCGGTTGTGAAAGAAAGTAGCAAGCGCGTGCGCCAGCTTCTCAGCAGTGAAGTGGAAAGCCCTTCTGCAACCCATGAAGCAAAAATGAGAACAAGAGGAGAAAGGAGGTGGGGTTTTTGCATGTCTCAATAGGATCAAACTGTAGACCAGGGGTTGGTGGGGTGGCTCAGCAGTCACAGCATTTGCTATTGTAGCTCAGCTCAGCACCCACACCCGTATTAGGCAGCTCATAACCAACTCCAGTTTCAGAGGAACCGATTCCCTCTCAGCCTTCATGTGGAAGACACATGGCAGATGCACAAAGATGGAGATAAAAATCATTTAAGATTGAGCTAGCATGTTCCCAGGAGGACATAAAGCAGGCTTTTTTCGACTGGTTCATAAATGCTGTCTTGGGCGCAACAGCTGAATGATGTCAGCGTGGCTGAGAATCCAGTCTGTCCCTAAGGTGTTGAGGCCAAGCTCCCTGGACTGTCACCTTGCCTGCACTGCCAGGGTCGTGTGTATCCTGTTCTCTCCGGCACGAGAGTAAGGTGGTAACTGTCTCAGCCGCTAGGTGGTCTGGGGCCTTTTTTTTGTTTGCAGCTGGTGGCCAACTGAGTGTAAACATCCGGTGGCTTTCCCCTCTGGCCGAGAGTTCCCTGGAAGGAATTAGTCGGAATCGCATTCGGTCCCTTCCGTGTCACATTCAGAGACACTGAATTGTTGCTCCCTGCTGTGTGCCACTGTAGAAGACTAACCCTCCGTTTCCCTTCCACAGAAGTAAATGGAGTGCTTTAAAAAAGTGGCTGAGGAGTTGAGAGTTGGCCGGAGTCATTACCACACTTTCTTACGTGAGAATACAGGTGTGTTCAGATACTAGGCTGTCACACCTGTCCGTTTGTTTCGGCCTCTCCGGGGTTAATCTGTTTTTCTTAATAAGAATGAAGTCCTGGAGAGGTTGTGCGTCCTCAGGCAGTGTGGACCTGCTCAGGAGCTGCATGCTCCAGCCCGGCCAGGGGAGGAGCATAGAGGCCCAGCAGGCTGTAGGAGAGAACGCCAGCTGAGCAGAAGCAGGGCGCAAATCCTCTAAGCGCTGTTCCTCCCCGGATTCTGCTTCGGTTCCTGGCTCCAGGTGCCTTTCTCCAACCTCCAGCAAGATCCATTTGTGATCTGGAAGCCCAGGGTGAAATAAGCCTCCTCCTTCCCTGTGGGAGCCCACTGTTAAGGTCGAAGCCTAACGTTTCTGGCTAGCTCTGAGCTCCATGTGTAAAGAAGGGCCCCCCTGCCTCGCTGGGTTCCCTCACTGCCTGATGGGGGACCCCAGGTCTCAGAAGGAGCATCACACAGCCCTCAGGGAGATTACAAGCCCAGCCCTTTCTCCAGGTAGAACCTGTTCAGCAAGCACCCTTAGGACATGCAAATGAGGTGTCTCTGGCACTCCTAGTTGCAGCAAACCAAAGCCTTCATCCCTGAAGCTCCCCCACTGCCCAAGCTCTATAAAAGTCGCTGATTCACGAAATAAACTCCCCTGCACATCACTCTTCCACCGTCACCGCCTGAGGCTTGTCAGGTACTCTGGAGAAGGAAGGGCTCCCTTCTCCCTGAATTTTCACCACTGAGCTGGGGTTGGCTCTGTGGCTCCCGCCTCTGCCTGTCTCGGCTTTGGAGCTCTGAGCTAGCCTGTGCTCCTTTGAGCCAGTGCCTCACCCTTTTCTACCCAGAGCCTGCGCTCTTGTTTCCCGCCCAGTGGCCTCAGTGGGGAACTTGTGCTTGACTGGTGTTTAATCACAGCACCAGAGAAGCCGACCAGAACAGCCAGCGGGTACATAGGCGGCCAGGGCTCTCCCCGGTGTCTACAATGGGAGTTACCATGGCAACACTGAGGACACTCCCTGGCTACGAGCTCCAGGGAATTTGAATCTGGTGTTCTAGCTTTTTTTTTTTTTCCCCTCATTTGTTTGTTCATTCTGTGTTGGGTTGGTTTGGTTTTTTGTTGTTTCTGCGAGATGGTTTCCATTTTGATCTGAAGTATGAGAAGTCTGCATGGTGCCCACATGTTTTCTGGGCAGGAGATAGATCTGGAGCGGGCGCAACC